ACAAAGCTTTTTCTTGAACGAAAAACATACGATAGCTGGTTAAAAACAACCGAATTGTTAAAGATTTACAAAGCTAAATAAAGGACGAATATTTGTTGTAATATGCTCTTCATGTTATATTTCCTCCAGCATTAGAATAAATTACTCTTATCGATAGAAACATAAAAAGTTTTGAGAGAAAGTCTTTGATTTATCGATTCGTCGAGAAAAATGCTTGTCAATAAAAATATACATATACGATTGTTTGCTAAAAAACACACACCTGAATTCTTGAAGAACACTTCTTGATCCATCTTTGACTACATAAAAGTGTTTTTTAAATTGTTTTTGGTCTATAACTTGTCCTAAAGCGATTTTTTCTGTGCATTTGAGAGCCGCATTTGTGAGTAGTGTTGCTTTGATATCAAGCGGGATTCCTGTGTTGTGTACACGCCCGGACGGACGGACAGACGGACGGAGGTGACGTCAGCCAAACCATGAAAAATCAACTCGATGGTTTACCATTTTTTCTTAAGTATGGGGCTCCGCGCGGGAGCTCCGCTATAAATTAAATACACAACCACTTGGTACATACTCACAGTAGACTGTTACACTTGTCCTTGTAGTGGTTGCAGCCTCGTTTGGGTTGTTCTTGGCCTGGCACTCATATACCCCAGCATGGTATCGTTTAATGTTATCTATATGYAGTACAGCACTTCCTGATCCTTGTCTCTTGGTAAGAACACTACCATCTGTGATATTCACCCATGTGATGTTCGGTGTTGGTGAACCAATAGCAGTGCAGTTTATCTTTAAATCCTCTCCCTCGATTATATGATATGTGTTATTTGGGTGACTAGATAGAAATGTCGGGCGCACTGAAATAGAAATAATCATATATGATTTTCATTTTCGTTTCTTATGTACACAGCCTCTTAAAAAAATAAGACGAAATCAGGTCTTGAAGGTTATTGGGAAACCGTTGAAAGCTAAATTGTGGCAGCTTAACGCGGAATGGACAGAAAACTTTCCAAACATGAGGCGCTTTGCCAGGATAGCTTTACACGGTGCTATTAGGGAAGGATCCATGGTTTTGATCATCTAGCACCACTACCAAAGGGCCTCCAATTTAGAGGGGCCCGCCGCAATGAACAGTAGAGGAAAAGGGGCGAAAAATGGTTGCAGTTTCTCCTGTGAATTGATAGTGGATCCAGATATGGGTTAGCTAGGTGTTAGCTGACACTTATAAGGGAGTTGAAGTGTGTAATAACCATGGTCCGACATATTCTGATATGCAGATTAAAAGTTTTGATACCATATTTGGAATTATGACTTTGATTTCAAGATGGCCACTTCCSCTACATATCACATTTCTCGCTAAATTACTAGACTTTCAAAGGAGAATTCTTCAAATATTGACACGTGATAATTTACCGAAAGAAATTCGACAAGAAAGAAAGTGTTATATTGCTTAGCATCGTACAAAAGAAATGTATGGCTGTAATACGTTTCAATCCTCTTGTGAGTTTCTGATGTTATATAGCAYATAAGTGTTTTAACTCTCCTAGCTTTATAACTTTCTCTGTCCTCCCTATTTCTAAA